TCAGGGGGGCTGGGGGAGCAGGAAGGGGATGGGGCCTGGTAGAGGTCCCTCCCCCCATGGTCCCCTTCTCCTCTCCTCCAACTCCCTCACCCCCTGCTGTCTACTTACAGGCACAGAGCCTGGGTCCAGCTTCCTGCGGTGGCAAGAGGAGACTTCTCAAATCTCCAAATCTTCTCCAAATCAATTCAGAGGCTTCAAATCAATTTGGACCTTTTAATTGATCTCCCGATTCAATTCAGATTTGGAGATTCAGCCGCCAAATTGGGCCAAATCTCCTCCAAATCTAATCAGTAACTGAAGCTTCTCACAGGCCTACTAATTATATGGTTCCGACCTTCCCTGTGTACCACGCCCATGCCTTGCAGATATCATCCATCATCAGCCATCTTGGGCTGTGGCATCAGCCTGCATGAGTAGGGCTTCCTGCCTAGACACTTCATTCACCTTGGCTACTCCCCAGTGTGTTTTCTAGGCTTGCCTATTTCTCCAAGGCACTTTGCTTCTTGGAGCTACTCCTGGGCACAGGCTTCCTACCTGTTCTCCCCACCAGACACTTGGACCATATAAGCTACTCCTGAGCTAGAAGGCTCCAAACTATGGGCTCACCCACCCTTGTTCTCAAACTCTTTTCTGCTTACCCCAGCTCAGCTGTTCTGCTGCCAGGAGCTCCTCTCTCTCTGGCTCCCAGGACTAGACTCCCTGACTAGCTTATATGCCTCAAGCCCAGTCCCTTCTGGTCAGGTGACTTTCTAATTGGCCCCTGCCACACCTGCAGCCGCCTTCTCCCACTATCTTTCCTTTTAAAATGACAGGCGCACCAAGTGCCCTGTCACAGTTCATAACTAATAGGAAATACCTGACAAAATACTTAGAATCTGGGCTACATGGTTACAAGTGCACTGATGCAGTAATGGGTCACTGAGCAGCTGGCAACAGGGTGCAAACTCTGTGCTGACTATGCTGCAAGGACAGTACTCAGAGACAAAAATGGTGAAAATTCATCATGGGCACATGATGCCTCATCATTACTTCAGGACATCATGATGTGCGATGGGAGGAAAGGGTGGGAGGGAATAGACAGCTGCAGAGAGTCAAAGGATTGCAACTTGACTGGTATGCATTGCTCACACTGCCAGTTGTCTGGGGGCGGCCATATTTTGGTAAATGTGGGCCCTGCATCATTTTAATTCTCCTCTGCTTGAAATAATGTAAAGACTAAATGCAGGAATTGTAAAGACATCTCCTCCAAACCAAGCTAGGGAATGCCATAGTGAAGCCTGGCACATGCCTAGTCTGTGCGCATACTAAATTCCAAATAGATGCCATGTAGCCTTCTTAGACTATCACTAGGCACATGCCAATAAACAAGCTTGAGACAGAGTACTTACTGAAGTAGACCAGCACCACTCTAACGTGCCTGCACTTCATCTATTTCTAGGTTTAAAATGGGCAGATAAGGTGTGTCTGAGAGTTTTTTTGCTGCTGTGAAAGCCACATGTATCCTTTAGGATTCTAGATACTAAGGTGATCGGTGTTATATAAAACTAGCAAATTTCCCATCAAGAATGACAAGGGGAGGGCAGTGGAGACGGAGCCCTGCCCCCCTTCTCTCCCTCCTCATCCAACCCCACTCCGGGTCCAGCCCCACTCCATCCCCACCCCTGTTCCCCGCCTCACCGCTCCTTGTTTAGCCCTGCTGTACACCCATGCCTCTCCTGCTGCTTCGGATCTGACCCCACTCCCCTGTCCCCCGCGCCCCCCCCCCCATTTGGGTCTGCAAATTAGCAGCCTGGAGAATGCCTGCATATGTGGCATGTGCGGTGTGCAGTGCCACACATGGATCTGCAGCATCACACACCACACATCTGCACTCGTCTGTATACATCCAACATGCAGGAGTGTAAATGACTACACAATGTACAAGGCAGGGGAGAAACAACTCTGACTCCTGCCACGTGCCCCTCACACCACAATCGCAATACCGAATTTCACTGTGAAACTGCCATGAGCACTGCATCCACTCACACCATGTTTTCTCTTGGCTTTTTGCCTACAGTAATGTGCAACAGGTTCTTCAGCTTCCAGATTCCAGCTTAATGATGTCTGGATTATTGGTTTTATTTAGATCAAATGTTTCATGGCAGTGCTAAGTTAAATGAAGACTTGTACAAAACTAATATGTATGAAGCTGCATCTAACTTGCTCCCAACTCATGACTGGATCCTGAAGCAGGTTTTGGCCAACACCACCACTCCTTGACTGATGCTTATGGTCCCCAGGATTTGGCCAAGTGTCTATGTAATAGGGTGGTCTGGCTCTTGAGAAGGAGAAGACAGCGTGTGGTAGAAGCCCAGTTGTGGGCAGTTAACTACTTAATGGGCAATGAAAAATGCTAGAGAGAAAGGAGAGACCTGAAGCTAGGGAGAAGGGGCAGTCCACAAGCATCAGACTCAGAGAAGCTCAGCACTAGGAAGGGGCCAGAGCAGAAGGGCTTCTCCTTGGTCTTGGAAAAGGCACATCGATTTGGTTTGCTGATTTTTTTTAATCTTGTGGGTAAGGACTATGCTTGGATTGTAAAACAACTGGCTGAAGGACTTGGAGCAAAGCCAGGCTGTGAAAAGGCAACAGGGCTCAATAACCCACTTACATCACCTTTAATGGTTTACCAGTTCAACAATGATCCCAGTCCACACCTGGATACACACAAAAGCAAGAACTGAACTAAAGTTTTCCAGAAATGAGCTGATATAGGAAATTACCAAATTACATTTTTGCTGTAGGCTGCTAACCCTGGGTTCCAGACACCAGTGTCCCTCCTGAACCTAGTTATTCAGATATGCTCCCTCAGATAACTATCATGAGACCCACCATAGTCATGCTAGCTTTTAATTTAACCCCTTAAGGATAATATAGTAAGCAAGAAACGAATACAAGCTGAGTAAAGGTATTCCTTAGCTATTTAAACAATTTAAAAGCACAAGAGAGTTATGGATTTCTGTAAAATAGCAGAAGTCTTGAGGTACAAACCCATAATCTGATCTCACCTTTCCTGTGAGTCAGATCTTCTTAGCATTTTAGGCTAAGAAGGCTCCATTCCCCCACCTCTGTTTCCAAGAGTTCTTCTTGCATATGGCAATGGTTGTCTCCCCTGCTATGCCAACTCTACTGAGAAAAAACCCATCTTTTAGATACCTGCCTTTTGCCAGGTGCTCAGATGCTCGCCAGCTATATGGATGCCCCTTTGTAGAGGGGCTTGGGATACCAGTTGAGAGAGAGTTCAAATTGATAGTGCCAGGCTACTCTGTGGTGGCTTGTCAGTGATAATTCTTCAGAGAAGAACCTCTCCTTGGCAGGAGTCTATGTGGAATATAGAAAGGTATAGTGTATTCTATTTTGTGCATAGACTTGAGAGTGAAAAAACCCTATGCATTTACCCACAGTATTCACTTATCCCAACCCAGTGAAAACTGTGTTCATGTATTATAGCAACAGCGTGTACTAAGCTTTTTTTGTAGCTCATTAAGGTTCATTCCCTTGTTATGCCTTTAATAGCAACCTAGAAATTGGCAGGACCTAGTCAGTTCAGGGTTACTTTAGAAACCTTTGATATTGAATGGCTCCTGGTCAGTTTCACCTGTTAAGCAGAGTATTATTTCATTTCAAAGTAAATATGGGAGCCAAAGTGTCCCTTTAATGAATCCAGCTAGTATGGAGAGAACCAGTATTTGTCAAAATGTAAGCAATGAGACCAAAAAAGGTGTGTGAAGAGTTTTTAGCCAAGAAACTGACTCCTTATCTTTTCTGGTTATAAATAAATCTAACTTCTAACGGCTGATTCTTTGGGCAAATGGAGTAGCAGTTCTCAGGCCTAGCTAATCAAGGCACCAACCTCCAGATAAGGTAGGAGTCATCTGCGTCTTCAGTCAGACTGTACAAAGAATTGATACTTCAATTTAAGGAGCCCACCCACAAGATCAAACGGGAGTAAAAAGTATTCTGTCTTTCTTGATTGCATTAAAAACCAAGATCAAATGAAAGCTTTTCTTCAACTAAAACAAAATACTTTGCATGTACTTAAGGCATTTTTTCAGCAAGCAAAGCAATGGGAAGTGAGAACTAAATTTAGGCACCAGTAAAAAAGTCAGTGAGAAAGAGGAGGCAGCATCACTGATTTAACGCAGTAGGGAGGACGCTCACTCCAAAGTAGGAATAAGAGATTTATTTCTGTCCTGTGCTGTTGACAATGGAAATCAAGGTGTCCCCTGGCCTGGTTCTATGGCTTGGTTACGGTCCAGAAAGCACTGGAACTGGTGAACTTTTGAACCAGTGACGCAGTTCATGCTTAATTAGGCAATATTTTGGTGGGAAGTCTCTGAGGTGTTTTTGAGAGACTCCAAATTGATACCTTTGAGGGACAGGCAAAGGGCCAAGTGCACCAGAGAGTGCTGACTGCATGGGCAAGTGTTGTGTGCACCTGCGTGTTTGATTGGTACCTCGTGTGTGGGCGGCAGATGCCTGTCCATGAGTGGTGTAAAAGGGACAGATCTGAGGAGATCTGGATCCCTATCCTTGCATGTGTGTAGTGTTTGTGAGGCAGGTTGCATGCCTGTCAGCAGCAGTTCATATGAGAGTTTGCTCCCTAGCACCATCCACAGAAGCTCTTGTGTCCCTCTCTTCTGTTTGTTATTAATAGAATAGTGTAGTAGTGGGTTATTGCTGTTTCTATTGTACCCTGGTTGTTGACTGATTGCCATTCTTGTTGTGGTACAATATAGTTATTGTTTATTCCTTCATCTGTGTTGATTGTTTTATTGCTCATTAATAACTTCAGACACTAGGTGGGATTGGGTGATAGACCAATACCTAGTGGTAAGCCTTTGCAAGTCCACCGTACTGAAATTTTTGGATTTGGGGCTTCAAGGATTAACAATTGGACTACTGCCAATTCTTGATTCCAAATTTTAATTAGTGAAGAGATTTATGTTATTTAAGAGAACGTGCAGCTCTTCTGTGCTGGAGGGGATTTGAATCCACATCTTCCATCTATTTTGTTGTAGGGTACCCTAGGGCAGGGTGTTCTCACTCTCTCCAGTTGAAGATATCTCACTTCCCGTGGCTGTACTTGAATGTTCATTCACCCAGAATGAGGGCAAAAGAGAGTGAGAATGGGTAAGTCTACATTGCAAAAACAGCATGTCCTTAGTAGTCCTCACTACCACTTCCACTCACATGCTTCAAACCTGGAAGTATGCCTGTAAAGCTGCTCTAGCTTTGTCTCTAGCAGCCATTCTCAAGCACTCCAGGCAATGAGATCTTAAGGGCAGCCACAGAGGGACACCCCCAGTGTCCTCACTGGTTTATTTCCATGTTTTGACCACATAAGCAGGACCATGCAGGCTGATTGTTTCTGAGAACATCCTGACTAGGAGACCAGGGGGGTAGTTATGCCCAAAGACTTACATGCTGGTGCTTTGTGCACTCATTTAGGAGACTAAAGAAATGGCTTCCAGACACTTTATGACTGTTTAAGCGAAACAGCTGTGGCAGGAGAGACTGAGAGCAGCCTATCCCAGAAATACTGTGCAGTGTGGTGGTTCAAAGGATCCAACTTCAAATCCACTTGGACACTGAAAAGATTTGAACCTAGGTCTCACATATTGAGTACTCTGACCTATGTGCAGTACCTTAACCACTCGAAAATTGGAGGACACCAAGTACCCTAGCCTAACCACTGAAATACCAAATAACAAATTATATTGGTTTTGCTATCTAGCCAAAAATATAGATATAATAATCTCAAACTATTCCGCAGATTTGACCTGAATTTCCTAATAGGCTCAGGTTAAGCATAACTGCATTTTTGATAAACTACATGTTTGAAAAAAAAATGCCAGGCCTGTTCTTGCTGGGTGAATTTTGCCATTGACTTCATTGTTTGTGGAACCAGGCCCCAAATTAATTTTTAATAACTCCAATTTGCTCTGATTTCACAAAATTAGCAGAAAATTTCCACTTAACTCTCTAGCAGGTGAAACAGAATTCAATTGAATTCGTGTCATCCCCCACCACATCCCAAACACACACACCTGCCCTGTAGGAGCTTTTCATGAAATGCTTTAGTTGTTTGACTCTTTCCAGTTGACTGGTGCAGGAATGAAGTTCTTTCCATTTGGCTTATCTTCAAAGATGGGAACCAGCTGTCATACAGGAGCTGAGTAGGGATTAACTGGTGATTATTTCCTTCACTGGGGAAAAAAATTAACACAACAAGGCCCTAGCATTTCCAAAGAGTGCATAGATTCCTTAACATGATCATAATTAGACATTACAATTTACCTAAAGAATGTATCTTCAGGTATTTTTTTAATCCCAGCAGTCTCTTTTTCAATCCCAACACCTTTTATAGATTACCTACAAACTGTGAAGATGACAGCGGGGAAGTCATAAAGTTCTCAGCCTGAGAAGTTACACTGGTTCCAGATTTTGAGTAGTGATCAATAGGAGGGATGTTTCCAGGCATGCCAGCTAGTTAGTGCTTGAAGCCTAGGTAGTCTTACTCAGTCACTAAGTAAACACAGTATGAGTCATTATCCTTTCTATCCTTACATATATGCATGCTCATATGTATCCTGAACAGCTGGGATTTTAAAACCTTCTAAACTGTAAACATTAATAATTAGTTTGCTTTGGCAACCCCCTAGACTACTTCCTCTTAGGTCTTTTATAATATATCATAAGTCCCTCCACAGAGCTTTCCTTGTTAATGGGAATTGTTCTAGTGACACACACACCACATGGTCACACAAACGTAAGCAAACCTCCCCAGAGCAAACGGAAAATGGAAAATACCCAAATCAGGAAGGCCATTATGGAAATCAGTTACCAGGGCATTAATTGGGTTGAACAGGTCAACTTTATACTGAAAACAAAGGTGTGCTCCAATATGTGTGTTTCAGTAGTCCAACTAGCCAGGCTTACTAAAAGCATAGCATTCTTGTGATCTGAGATCTGGTGAAGAATGTCTTGCATTCAAAAGCTTGTCTAACTTTATCCCAACTACATAGTTGATCTAATAAAAGATATCAGCCTAACAAATTCTTGCCTCACGTAATTTCTGGACTGTTGTGGCTACATCATACGTACAGATATTGAAGGAACTAGAGAAGCAAGGAGAAATAACTAAAGAAATAACATATACCCTTAAAAGAAAATATGAAAAATCAGAAGTGTAACTAAGGGTTGGTAAGCTGGGTTCCTTGGGGAAACTATGGGGCTGGAGCAGCAGCCCTGGTGCTGGGACTCTACACTACTGCTGTAGCAGCAAGAGCAGCAAAAATCAAGGTCAGGTCTACTGCTCTCTGCCAGTGGCAGTCAGGGACCCTGAGCTAGTGAAATGGCTCTCCCCCCCCCCCCCCCCCCAACCCACACCCCCACACGCGCGCGCGCGCACGCGCCCCCTGGACTTTGGCACCTTTCCCTCCCCCTCCACTGCAGAGTTTTGAGGAGGCTGAAGAACTCACTAATTATGCCTTTGTTAAAAATCATTTATATATCTTGCTTTTTAGGGGACATGATATGTAAATATATGTAAATATACACTAGAAGATCTAAAGAAACGTCACCTACAAGACTAGATGAAGCATTCAACCTTGGATCGCCTTGTTTAACTTACATTGCTTAAAAATTCAAAAAGGATTTCAGAGTCAGTTTTTAAACATATTTAAACACCTAACTGCAATTGCAATCAGTTAGATCCTTCATGCCTTTAAAAATTGATTTCAGTGAAATTTAGGATCTTAAATACCTTTAAAAGTCTTGCCCTAGATTTGAGTCCATTTTTTTTCAATGCTCTGGATGACCATCCCAATTAATTTATTCATTCATTTAACTTGGGGGATGAATTTGGACGGGGGATGAGTTAAAAGAAAAACCACCATATCACATTTTTAAATTTACTTCCATCTCATTTGAATGTTGATGGTTTATGCCTGAACATTATCATTTTTTTATATAAATTATCCATTTACAAAAAGGGGGAAACAATTTTTCTTACTTTTCTTTGGCTTAATTAATGCCTGTCATCAAATGAAATGTGCTATATAATGTGCAAAGCTAAGATATAAAAGTATTTCTCCAGTGAGGGATGTTAAAGTAATGCTAGCAGCCTTCATGGCCTTGCTCCTGGATATTCCATCACTGACCTCAGAGTAGCTGTTTTTAAAAAAGAAAACTGTAAAAATCAACTAGAATCTGAAACTGCATCCACAGACTGGATTGTGTTTAGTATGCTCACAACAGAGATTATGCATTTTTATTCCATTATCTGGATTCGTTTTTTTATAACCCTTATGTACCTCACTGGGTTAACTGCTTTGTTTATCACCTGTGATCTTCTCAACCCACTTTCACCAGTGTCCCTTTCTCCCTATTTTTCCTCTTTCTTTCTCAATTTGTTGCATTTATGTATCATTTATTCTTTTCTATTTCATACCTTGCTATCTTCAAATCCATTCAGAGCACCTAACAAGTGGGCTGTCACCTACAAAAGCTTCTGAATGAAATAGTCTCTAAAGGTATTGTTAAATATTACCTCTCTCATGTGTTAAGGGCTCTTAAAATGGCAGTGTCCACACATTAAGCTGGGAAAAGATGAGCTAAGTGTCCTCTGAGCATCTCTTCCAGTGAGGATTACCAATTGCTCATCTTCATCAACTTGCGTTGCAATAACATTACATTGCTCCACAGGGCCAATACAACTTGGGAGCAGTCCACCAGCATCCCAGGAGGCACCACTCATGCCCCCAGCCCCCCTATCCCCCTCCACAAGATGGCCCCCCTCTATCCTCCTGCTCCAGAGTGACATCAAGGAGAGGAAGCAGTTGGGAGAATCCTAAAGGTAAGAATTACCTTCCTCTGCCCCTGCATGCTCAGAGGCGTGTCTTCTCCCCTCCACTCCCCTCTACCTCCACTCCCAATCCTGGCTCACCGTGCCCCTGGGTATCTCCCATTCTCCCCCTAGCTCCTAGGGCTCCTCAGGAGAAGTGAGGGATGGGTTGAGCCCTGGGGACCAGGGGGGGAGACAGAGGAGGAGCCACAGAGGAGCTGGCGAGAAAGGGGAGCTTGGCAGCTCCTAGCCATGTCCTTGTTTGCCAGCCCTCCAGTGGCAAGTCCAAGCAGTGCAGGTCAGAGAAGGTATTATCTTTTACTGTGTGACTGCTAGGACAATGTTCTGAATTTAATTTCACCTAACTCTAGCACATTCTAATCGTAATGTGTAATAACATTTGTTTTTGTTATTACACATTATAACGTGTAATAACAGGTGGCCTAAGGAGTCACCCTGCCCTGCCATCTGCCTGACTTCAGATTAACACAGCTAACTTCTTCTCTCAGCCCACTAAATGATGGGCTTTATGCAAGCTTCAGAGTCCAGTTAAAAATAAAATCCTGGTTGTGCTAGACCAAGAAGCATTCCTCTTGCTGTAGGAATGTGCTGGTGCAGAAGGGGCGCTACTTCACTGTCAGGGTGGCTCGAATCTGGAACCAACTTCCAAGAGAAGTGGTGCTGACTCCTACCCTGGGAGTCTTTAAGAGGAGGCTGGATGAACCCCTTGCTGGGGTCATTTGACCCCAGTACTCTTTCCTGCCATGGCAGGGGGTCGGACTTGATGATCTGCTCAGGTCCCTTCTGACCCTACCAACTATGAACCTAAGGGAAAAAACAGGGGAGGGTGGAATAATACTATATTTCTTCTTCTTTCCTTTCTAAATGCTTCACTTAATATTTACAACCATCTTTAATGTTTCACACTGTATTTAATTTTTTTCCAATTCCCTTTATAATGATCAGATGATGAAGGAGGAAATAAAATTTCTGCTTACACTGTTCACTGAGTAGCAAGTAGTTTATGTATCAAAACAAAAGGACAATTTATAAAATGTATCCACTCTTTCTCTGCCAGTTTTTATGCAATGCAATTATTTACCTGAATGTGATAGAAAAGTTAACTCAGTGAATGAGTAAAGCTGATTTTTATGGATAATGGTTAATGTCATCTTCAGCCATGCCCCCCATCGATAGCTGGGGTTCTTTTGTTTCAGCCAAGCACCTGGAGGACATAGGAATTCTCCTAGCCACACAGACTAAAAACCTGTCCTGTTGGTTAGATACTTTTCAAGCTTTTCTGCCTTATCAGTTATTGGCCACTGCCAGATGCATGAAAACTAGATGGACAATGCCTGTCATTCCTATGGACTTACCTACAATTTACACAGGAAATAGGATTCCTAGTAGTTTAAATATAAAAAGGAAGGCCTAGTTTCAAAAGTAATCACATGCACCTAAGAATGTAGCCAGCCACCCAGAATGGCTGCCACACATGGGTGCAGCAGCGACTTCTAGTTGCCACTGTTGCTGTGATTGCAGTTGCGTGTGGGGCAAAAGCTATTTTCTTTCCCTCCCAGTCCCTGCCTAGGGCAGTTTCCCCTATTGCCCTGCCACCATGCCCTCCTTACTCTGCTAAAGGGTACATACACATAATGACATAACTCACTAGGTAATTCTACTGAAAACTACATAGTCAGAATGGATAAGAGGCCTTCTGTTGGTACAAATGAATATGCAGAGGATAACCGGATGGGACAGATTATGGAAGTGGGGAAATTAAGGCAAGTACCCCTGTTAGAATCTACTCACCCAAACCTGCAGCAGAAACCTGTGTCACTGATAATTTTTGTCTTTGGTACCTTAATAATTCATACTCACTTACCCAGTAGAGGGGGAATGGAGAAGTGATTGGTAGTGCAATTCCTGCAAGATGCATCTTCTCAGCTGATGCAGAGGAACAGGCAGTTATTCAGAGGCAAAGAGCTTCTGAAGGGATGTTCCTTGGGCAGATCCATGGGATTAACAGGTATCTGGGGACAGGATCAGACCCCTAATAAATATACATATTACATACATATATATACAGGCACACATACATACACATGTATATGTTTACACTAAAAGGTGTGGACTTGAAACGTGATTACTTTGGAGTAATTTGCACCAAATTTTACTCAATAGAAAATTTACTCAGTACTAAAGAGCAGATGCATGACTAGCTTTGCTAACTGAGCTCCACACTGACAGTGCTATTCCAGTGCCAGGTCACAGAAAAGCATTGAGCAAAATGCTATCCTGGGAAACAACTGATTAGGGAAACAGGCACATGGCTAGTACATTAATGTAGCTTACTGCATTGTAGAGTTAGGGTTAGATTCTGTTCTACCAACTGGCCACATCTACATGAGATGCTACTGCACAATCGTTACTCTGTATTTATTTAGTACTAGTTTATACAAGTGCTGATGAATGTTGGGTTTTTTTGTAAAGCTACTGCACAGTAGCCTAACACTACTGTGCTGTAGCGTTGTACCATGGTTTTTGCCATGTGATGCTACTGTGCAGTAGTATTGGGCTACTGCGCAGTCAGCATCTCATGTAAGTGCAGCCTCTGGGCACCTAAGTGGAATCATTTAACTCCTCTTTCCCCCTGGACCAGATATAGACAGTGAGGCTGCCCCTAGATCAGATATGGCCCTGCATCCGGTAGCATATAGCAAACACTCGCAGCATTAAGTGTTGTAGATGCCGGAGCCACTGTGTCAGCTCAGGGAACTACAGAGGTCAATGCTATATAGCCATCACTCATTCTGTCACTGCTGAAACAGCACCCCAACGGTGCTCTTTACACCAGAATTGTGGCAGTGGGGGGAGTGATGGCAGGCTTAACCACTGCAGTTCCTTGAGCTGCTGGGCTGGCTCAGGAAGGTACAGGGAACCACTACTTAATTCAGGCCAGATGAATTATGCAGGCCAAATGACACTGATCCATAAGCCAGATCCAGCCCATAGGCTGTATATTTGACACCCCTGCATTTGTAACACATCATCATCTTACGCTTTAGAACAAGTCACAAAAGTACAGCAAGAAGGACAGTGACCCATTCATGTTTTCTACTAACTCTTTTTCAGGAACTTGAGTAGAGTGGACTAGAATCACACTTAGTGCCTAAGAACACTTACGTGTATAAGAGATGGAACAGAATCTGGCCTTTACTCCTTGTTTTCCAGAGGATGATTTTATTCTGGAGTGGAATGACTTGCTGTGGATGATGTATGGCTGTGCATCATGTAACTGTTCCAGGCTCAGATCCAGGATTTGGCAAAAGGGGATGCAGAAGCAGCCACCCATGCTGCAGGGGTGGCTGCTCCTCTGACCCCAGCCTCTTCCCCTCACCTACTGGTGTAGGCAAACTGCACTGCCAGAGCCTCTGGGGAAATTTTTAGAGGTCCCCAAACCATGTAAGAATCCACACCCCCTCTTCCCCTAAGCACTCCTCCTCTCTTCCCTCCCTCATGTGCCCTCCCTCCTGTGCCTGCCACTGCAACTTTCCCTGCTGTTTTGGGGTGAAGAAAGCTTCAAAGCTGCTCCGGCCAGACTGCATGGGGGCTGGACTCACACAGAAACAGTGACAGGGGTTTCCCCTCCCTATGTCTGGTCCTAGGGGACTATGCAGGGTAGAGGAACCCACCCCCCTGCCCATTGTCTCTTCTGCTGCTGCCACTATTTTCAACTCATCTCAGCCCCTGTTCAGCCTGGCTGCAATCGGCAGGAGCAGCTTTGAAACTTCCCCCACCCCCGGGACAGTAAGGAAAGCAGCAGCAGCAGACAGGGGAGGTGGGGGAAAGGGAGGGGAAGCTTTTGAGCACACAGGGGAAGTTGGGGATACTTACATACTTTGGGGACTTTGAAAAGAGGCTCCCGTACTGTGGTTCCCCACTCTGCACCCCTTCTGGATCCACCCCTGAACTGGTCCTCTTTTACTCCAGAGTAGACGCAGTTTATTTACTCATACCCTCATTTACTTAGATTTCACAAAATGGAAATCCGAGTAAGAAAGTTCCACAGGACTTAATAGCAAATGATACAGAAGTCAAGGGCAGTAACAAAACATTTCCCTAACCAGACTAGCTTAAGACCATGGTTAAGCAAACAGGACAGTGTGCCAGATAGCATAGGATACAAAAGGAGAGAACATTTATTGAAGGAATTATGCGGAGCACATTTGCAAGTCAATGAGTGATAAAATTATGTACTGGTGATACGGCACATTTAGAATGAAGACAGAGT